TCTCTTTTTTCTTCAGAATCTTGCTCTGAGAGCATGGCTATGAAACCTCGGACGTTTGGAACAAACTTGATGTACGCGTCCTCTCAAGGTCATAGTCTACAGCAAGCGCTCTACGATTTCACTTTATAACAACTATAAACTTAATAAGTTGGGAAACATTCTGTGAACCAACAAATGTTGTAATTTATAGATCATGCCTGTAAAAACGGTGTGTACCTGCACATGCAGAAATATACATTATTATTATTATCTATTGTTATTGTATATTATTATCTATGATAGGGTTAGATTTAATAGTTTAGAATAAATTGAGCTTTCAGTAAAAAGTTAACAATATATATTTTGTGATATCCTTATGAAAGAAATCGCATTTGTGGCGTTTCTTGACTTTATGTAGGCCGATTCTCTAGAATAAACAGATAAGTGGAATTAAATGAACAAAATTATAAATTTTACGGAGAAAAAATGCGGAATAGTTTTAGTACAATTCATATCATAATAGGTCTGAACATATCTATGTCAAATTGCTTTTGACCAAGACCCATTTTCATGACCAGTCACTGTATTAATCTTTATTCCAAAAGGTGGGTACGAAAAATGTGTACATTTGTAATATGAAGTGGTGGGATTGAAATTGTGTGTGTGTTTGTGTCTAGTTTGCATCAAAAATAAACAAGGTCAAATACGGTTCTTAGGACAAAAATTCCAGTTTCGATGAATATTCAGGCCCACTCCCCTATTGAGGGCAGAGGGATATAGCATTATGCGAAACGCTTTAGCTACTCACCTGTACTTAGCCAAACTAACCAATATCCCATCATTTCCGCCTCCAAAAGGCTTCTATAACTTTTTCGTATCTCACAAATTACTGAGTATTAGTTTTGGGTTTGTTCTATTGTGCTGAAAAATCTGATTGTTTGTGTAAGCTATTTACGCCAGGTAAATGCTAATGTGAACGCTTTGCTGAACGACTCGAATAGTTCTGTTGGGTCTCCTACGAGCTCAATTTTCATCTTTGGGGCATATGGTGTGTAGTTGCATTAGTTCTCAAGCATGCGATACTTGAGACTGAACAAACGATAACTGTGAAGATTTGCTTTTGACATTTGACACTGAGAGGTCAGGGATTGTGAATGCAGAGAGAATTAATCGGTATGACATGGCTCAGCTTTGCAGGCCTGACCACTTAGAGATACATCTTCTTTTTCATGCTGAATACGCTGTTCTATCCCTGGCCCGAATGTGTTTTCCAGAAGTCATGAACAGCGTTTCGCTGATTTACACGTAAGATCTCATACATTTGACAGTCACATCACGTCAACCCTACAATTTCGGGATTAAGTCTATTATTCTAGTGGCAAAGACTAATGTATGTTATTTGCAAGGTTTATCTACCCTGTTGGGAGCAGTGCTGGGAGTAATTCTCCGAATGTTTGAGATAGAATTGCTTGGGATTATTTCTAAGACATGTGGTTTTGTTATGCACAGTAGTAAACTGGTTTAAAGTTACTTTTAAAAAACTTTCTATAGTGAAGAGCTAACATGCCATTGCCCAAATGCCACTGTCCTGCTGAAGTGGGTGATTTTAATGATAGGGTTATGAAGATTGCCAAGGAACGTGGGCTTTATTTTAATGTAGAAGGAAACGACTACCAATAATTTGATCCAGTTTCGAAGAGACTTATTGCAATTCTGGGTTTTCAAGTCGGGCTTTAGGTCCAGAAACAAGCATAATGAATTGAATTATCACACTGAATGGCTTATGATGCTGTGATGAGTCAATGGTATTATTAAGACTTTGAGAAGCGGTCATATAGTGGTTGCATTTAGTGGTTGCAGAGGAACAGAAAATCACAAAACAGGCTGCATTGCTGTTGGATTTACGTAATGTCTTGCAAATAAACCATGTGTCTGGTAGATCACCATTTTAAGCAGTGTGTTTTCGGCAGACTTTATGTTTGTAATATTAAGTAGACTAAACACTGTTGCCACTTGTGTGCAATGTAGTCGACTGCACATATTTAAAGCAATGTGACCAGTTATCTCGGTCTCAATTAATGCTATGAAACACACTTCTTAGGTGTGCCAGAACCTATCTGGGAAACGACAAGCAACGGATGTTTTGGGCAATCTTGTCTGGCTCCTCATGATTAAGTGAGGCGTTTTTCTTAGAGTGTGTGCTAGAACTTTCAGAATTCTAAAGATTCGACACAGACTGTTTACTTACAATTGGAAAGATGAGTGAGTGTATGATATGGGCTTAACATAGCACTTACGAATCACTTTTAACAACCGATGAACCAGTACATTATCGAATTGTTCTAACCAACATTCTTGCGACTGTAGATTCTAGGAGAAAACTGAAATAACAGCTAAAGATAAGCGGTTACAAGTCGACTAATAACTTTCTGTCAGAATAAAAGCGCTATACCTAGAAGTTAGAGTTCATTGCTTCTTTATTTTGCCAAATCACTGGGATGTTAATTATTCCATGCTGAATGATAAAATATTCGTACGTTGAGAAATAAGGGTTATGACTAGGGTATTAAAACCTTTTCCAAACGAAGGTACAAAGTGCCAAGACTAAAATGGTTTGGCGGATAAATTGTTTGGACGATTGGCAGTGAACCTTCAGGTAGTTAGGCCCATAAAAGCAGATGCAGTCAAAGCCCACATTGAATACTTATCGAACTTTTTATTATTTGGAACTATATATATATATATATATAAACTACACAATGAAATTCTCTCAAGTGAATTTGTAGATGGCAGTTGATAAAGTTCTGCATAACAGAGTACTCTCGAATTCAAATAATTTAAAGATGGAGAGGAATGTACTTCTTTGGATAAATGGATTTTATCCAAGCACGGATCAACTCTAAAGTGTGTGGCCGAACAAAATAGATAAAATTCTTCAGAGCACAAGCATAAAAATCCCTTTGTTTTCATCGTTTGCTGAACAGAACTTCTGAAATACTAAAATGAATGATTAGAACCTTGTGATACTACAAAAGTGAATAAGTGTCTCAAGGTTGTGTAATAGGATGTAACGTAATCAGGCAATATCTTTATGTCTTCCAAGTATAGATCTAAAAGATTGTGACGGTATTGAAGAACAGAATATTTATTTCCAGACAGAACTAAGCGAACTGAAGACTAATAAGTTAAGTATATTGCATTGGTTGTACCGGGATATGATATTACGTTGAGAGCTTTCAGTTAATTGTTTGTTAGGGTTAAAAAAATTCAGCAACATTGTTGCACTGCAACGAAGATATGTAATTTGGTGATTTATTCACCGCTACACAGTATTCATGCTCCAAAATGACAGCTCACCAGATAGTTGTGGCGGACCAAACGGTATATAAACTCAAAAATAGTAATAAAATTATTGCATACAAACAGCAATGTTATAATATATCAGTTATACATGAAAACTTTCGTCTAAATTTGAACGTGCGGTGGACCAGACGATATATAAACGCGAAAAGTGTCAAGAACGTTAATAAAGATCAATAGAAATGTTAATATGTATAAGTTAATTATTACAAATACAATAGAAATTTGGGACTTTACTTAAGTTCACCAAAATGATGCGTGTTCGGCTTTGGTCTGGTACTAAGAAACCACAATTATAAATGCTTGGTAATTCTAATCTGGTTGACGAATTCCCCAGCGATATAATCCAACGTAGGATGTGATATATTCCAATTACAGTCTGTAAATGTAGATAGTGTTTGATTTAGACTTCAGTTAACTCAATCACAGACGAAGATAGAACGAGGAATGTGTGAGTAGTAGTGTATTTGTTAGCCAGCAAGAGTATGTCACGCTATGTGGTTGCACAACGGAAGTGTGTTCAAAGTCATTTACTAGAACAACAGTTACAGTCATTTAATGTTAAACATACATACAGTGAAAGGTTGACAAAATAAATACAAATAATATTAAAAACTATTTACAAAATAAGCTTGTCAGACATATCTCCACAAACGAGTAGTTTCGCAATATTTAGGCGCCGTGTTAATGTGGGTCATTAAAGAGGAATAATATATATTTGTAAGATCTCACCAGAAGGATTTGAAGTAATTCCAACGTTTCGTCTGGCAATTTGGTCCAAGCTTTTTCAAGTAAAATTATATTTTACAAATATACATTATTCCTCTTTAATATTAGTTATACGTTATAAACATCATAAAAATTAGGGACGTTGCTCAATTCAGCTGTCTTGTATTTGTTCCGATTGCGTTTGGCACCAGAATCCACAATTATAGATGACTGATGATTTAAATAAGATTGTTGTGCTTCCAATAATACAGCCAAACGTAGAACACAATGCAAATGAGGCTGTGGTCCATGAATGTAGACAGTAGATTATTTAGAGTTCAGTTATCACAATCGCGAGCAATAGAGAACAAGAGGCGTGTGTATAGTGGTGTATTTGCCAGCAGACAACAGCGTGTGTCATGCTACGCGTGTAACACGACGGAAATGTGTTCAAGGTCATGCACTTGAACAACATATACAACATATACAATCATTTTGTGGCAAATGTACAGACTATTAAAAATTAACAGAATAATTGCAAATAATATCAAAAACTATTTACAAAATAAGTTTGTCATGCATATCTCCACAATCTAACGTCTGTGTGAAGGAAAAAGGTTGATGTTGGAAAAATTTAACATTTTTTGTTCATCCTGTCCCCTGATTTTTGAGACTACAGAGAAGAATGAGAATCTAATTTAGATGTATAATCTTTGGCACAGAGAAGCACCATCGAAAATGTAGTCACAAATTTCAAACTGCTTGGCAATGACAAATGTACAACCCAGAAACAGATTTAGTTCTGTTCATCATCCCCACACAAGCTAAGATTTTAACAGTCTTGAAACAAAAAAGCACATAGTTTAACCCTACAACATCTTCATACTACTACTTATTTTCAAGCACTGAGGCTGAAACAGAAATAAACCGGGAAAATCTAAAACGACGGTACTATGACTGCAGATCGATGTATTTACGTTGGAAACATTAATCCCAAAATAACAACTGATATCTTGTACGAACTTTTTCTTCAGGCTGGACCTTTAGAGGATGTTACCGTTAAGGATACATTCGCCTTCGTAACGTTTGAGGATGAAGAGTCTGTCCCATATGCTTGCTCACTTTTTGAAGGGATCACATTATATGGTACGGAACTGAAAATCCGTCCAAGGCAAAACTCCAAGTTTCAGGATCTAAGAATACGTTCTGTTCCGCCTTCTGCCTACCAGTATTTCAAGCCTCGAATCGACCCTTCTTATTCAGCACCGCCTTACCGAAGTCATTTTAATGGGAGTATGGACTATGTTCATCATACCAGCCACCGTCGTGATCCATTTTCAAGTTTTACTCCACCTGCGGGTAACCGACATTTTGTTCATGAAATGGGATATAACTATTACTCACGATATGAACATAACCTACACCCTTTACCATCATATGATCTTCCTCCTTATGGTTGGCAACATGGTCCCCCAGCCTTTATTGAAGACCGTCCGTCTGAAAGAAGGCGGTCTGATGAATACAGTAGACATATGGGCTCTACACCGACTGCTAGTCGTAGAGAACGTAGTCCCTACTCCCGTCACAGCAGTTCCAGACCTGAGAGTTCTTATAATCATCGGTACGGATAGCACCAAAGTTTTTCAACAATTTCGAAAGTTTATGGACTCATTCCCCATTCTGTATTTTTATCAATAAAATGTTCAAACAACTTGTGTTTTGTCCGTATGTTTCTGTATGCATAAAATCTATTTGCAGGATATTTCTGATAAGGATTTAATCCGACCGGGGATAAATAACATCAAACATGTCTTGGTTGTAACTTCTGGGAAGGGAGGTGTCGGGAAATCCACGGTCGCTGCTCAAGTCGCCATTAACCTGTGGAATAGTGGTTTCTGTGTTGGTGTTCTTGATATTGACTTTTGTGGACCGTCTATACCTCGTATACTTGGTTTGGAAAACAACAAAGTCAGTAACAGTAAGAAATTTTGAGTTTTTGTCTACCGTTTATTTCATTTAGTAACAGGACTGTAAGTGAAATTTCATCACCAAATTATATATATATCATGCTGTTCGTCCTAAGTCTGCACATAAAAATCCTTGACACTGATATACTACAAGTTAAACGCATCAAATGTTAAGTTTTATGCTAACTGTAGATTGTATTGGTTACCAAAACCCTTTTGAGTGGAGAGCTGTTCAACAGATGTTAGGAAACCAACAGTTTCGTCGATGTTTCCCTTGGCTTAGTGGGCACTAAACGTAATTCTCATTATTGGTCAACATGTGTCGACTAAGCACTCCAAGTACTAAACTTGAGACGATAAACTGTTTCAGTGCTGGTAGCTTTCAGACACTGTCTTTGTTTCATGAGTTCACTTAACCAGTAGTATTTTGACTAAGATTCAGAGAATCATGATAAGCTGTTGAGTTACGTACTGAGTATGGGATGAGATTCTAAAACTAGATCATTCCTTCATGGCTACACTGGATTGGATCACGTTTTTTGATTATTTATCGGAAAAGTGTTGCCTGTAGCACATTGAAATTATAGCATAATTGGATCAGGTTAGACACAGATTCCTCCTCGTCGTTACCACGATCAATGTATAGGTTCACGCTCTGTGTATAAAGACTTATAACTTCTAGACGTGGGTTAACCACGTCTTATTCATCCTATCGCTAGAGCTTGAATACTAGGTGGTTTTTTAAGTTTCCCAGTTTAACAGTTGAGATCATGAGTCAATTGAAGCTAAACCACCATGGAAACCTAGGAAGCACTGGACGGCCTTTTCGTCCTATTTTGGGACTCCCCAGCAGTGCGCATTCACGATCCCGCTCGCGGGATCCGAACCCAGGACCTATCAGTCTCGAGCCAGGCGCTTAACCAACTAGACCACTGAGCCGGCATTCAACGGTGTTAATGCCTAACTTCAACTAATCCACGAAATTGAGCGACACATCCACCATTGTCATCAGTGAGTTAGTACCTCACAACTAACCCGGTTGAACTCCATTGGTCACTGCTTCTCATTAGAACTCCAGGATATATCTCTTGAAGCCAGTCACTAGTGAGCATATGTTGATTAGTATCAGAAGGGGTTTTGTGGAGATTGTAGTAATTTCAGCAGTTGAGATCATGAGCCAATTGAAGTTAGACCACCATGGAAAACCTGGAGGCACTGGACGGCCGTTTCGTCCTATTGTGGGACTCCTCCTGGGATGATTTAACTACTTAAACTCGACTATGATCCATAAAAATCTCAAGTGTTGGTCCATCGGATCCTGCTACTCCCCCTGGCTTTAGATTACTAATAGCCTTTTCAACCTCACTTAGAGTTGGATTACTTAAGTCAATTTCACCTTCAGGTTGCTTGGAGATATTGGGTAACTGAAGTGTTGCTGAAGACCAGTTGAACTGTTTCCTAAAATGTTCTGTTCATCGGTTTAATCTCCTGGATTGAGAGTGAATAATTGTCCCGTCTTTTTCCGAAATAGTTTCACTAACAGCCGTATTTCTAATACCCATTTCCCTCTTGAGTATGAACAGTTGTCTGTTGTTACCTATTGCTGCTGCCTTTTCCATCTATTCTGTTTTTGATACCCACCACTGCTCATGATCACTACGTAGGCTTCTGATCAGTCTATGTTTAAGTTGCCTCCGCTCCTTATCCTGTTCAAACCCAGGCGGGATGAGTTTTCGAGCATCTGTCAGTGCTATAAATGCCGCTGAAATTCGCTGACTTTTCTTAGCCTTTTGATTTAAGTTACTAGTAGATATCGCTGCTGTTTTCTCAGTTTTTTGTATATTATTCCTAGCTACCTCGGCGTGGATACCGTTTTCACGATTGACTAGCTCTTTCTCTAGTACTCTGGAATGAGTAACAGTCTCCACTCGATCCCCTTCAACGATGGCTAACGGCAAGATGATCTATTTAAGTTCATCGATGAATTGATTGTGTAGGTCTCCACGTCAGACGATATCTCTCTCTATGTTTAACGTTGGTGTTTGCCAGAAACAGACGGTTATCTAACCATAGTTGCAACAGACGGCCGCCATTATCTGTTCGCTGAGCCGCAACGTTATAAGATCCACATAAGTGCCTTTCGGTTTGGTTTAGCTTGCTTACTTAAGCATTATAATCACCTGCCACTAATAATACATAAAAGCCTTTAAATTTTTAAAGGTTAGATAGCTTCCCAATAAAATTCATCTTTGACTTCATGCGAGCTACAATCAGTGGGAGTGTAGGTAGTGACAACGAAAAGGCAACGGCATGTGTCCATATCTTTTCTAATTCTTACTGTCCCGTTTAGTCGAACAGCACACAGACGACTGTCTATCTCCACGAGAGAGAGCACGGGAAGTAGCAGTGGGATCTCCAGATACTTGAAGGACAAATCGTGCCGGTTCTTTATAATGACAAGTAGAGGTTAAATATATGACTGTACTTTAATCCTGACTGCGCGTTCCAGAGACGCAGTATATATCAATAGTGCGAGATTCTAGAGTCTTAGCTAGAGAAGCCTGTCGTTCCATCTGACACGAGGTTCGAAAATTAAAAGCTCCATATAGTTTAGAGCGTGGTTATTAAAAGGTGAGGCAGGGGCTTAATCGTCAATAAGATCTCGGGTGCTCATAGAGGTATGAGAGCGGTTTTCTTTTCCCAGTTGCCCGCACTGTAAACGTATAATCATTCTTGAGGGACTTATGAAAAATTGAATTATTGGTGTTCTTAACGATCTGGTAGCAGGACTGCAGACCCCAAGAGATGATTGCTTGAGCCCAGTTCCACTTCAAAAGGCCTTACTTCCGGAGATGAGAGCCCGTGGGGTAAGGTGGCGTGACATTTTTGGTCAGCCTTTTTCAACCCATTTCCTCCATTATGAGGCTCTATCGCTGCAGATGTTGGTTTGCTGAAGGAAACATTATGGCTTCACCTTCGGACCTTAATCCGCTGTTTTTAGTTTTATCGTTCTTCAACTGATTTGCCTGGGATGCTGGGACCTATATGAATATATGTTCCAGCCAATATAATCCAACTGAGTCACCAAGACAGGAAAGTCCGATCACCACTTCAGGGTAGCTACTGCGGCCGGGTTTCGACTTCAAGACTTATTTTAAACTCTTAGTTACCTTTTTACATTTGTTATACACAATTTTGAAATCAGTTGATAAGTTTAACCTCTATTTTTTACTTTTTTTAAACATCTATTATGGTTTTCAGATCCATTCATGTGCTGAAGGCTGGCTACCTGTCTATGCTGACGGACACACCAAACGCTTTCCCGTGATATCAATCGGGTTTCTGTTAGATAATCCCGATTCTGCAGTTATTTGGCGTGGACCACGCAAAGGTAGTATGGTGGGTGAATTTTTGAATTCAGTTTGTTGGGGAGAGCTCGATTATCTGGTCATTGATACTCCTCCTGGAACATCAGATGAACATATAACTGTCCTCGAACATCTACAGAAGTCCACATCTGATGTAGATGTAGGAATTATTATTGTTTCAACTCCACAGGTGAATTAACTTTCGTTCTCAATAAGTTATCACTGGTAATATTTTTCAAACTTAATTTCTCATTTCTATTCATTCTTTTCAAACTACCTATTGTCCAATAAATAGACAATGTAAGTTCATAAAAACGTGATTTGACAAATTCAGAGTTCATCAAACTTATCTTTTACTGCATACTCCCATTCCTGTCGATACACTTGTCCTGTCTTGGTTTATATTGCTCAATATAATCCTCGAGGTCCCTAAAAATCAATCGGTTTAGGTGCTTCTATGTTTTACGTTTTGATGGAGTCATCCGTTCAGTAAGTCGGCGAATGAAAATAATTAAAAATTCTACACATTCAAAGTTTACATCAACATAGAATGTTGACGGTCAGTCCGATTGTGCATAATCCTTGCTTTCACTAAACTGTTTGACCGATTTGAAATGTGTTGGTTCCTTCTGTCCATTTCTCGCGCAATAACCCTCAACACGTCATGAATTTCTCGATACTTCCGAAGTTTCACTAAAAGCTCAATAGATCAGTGCGTACTTTCAGTTGGTGTCAGAAAAATCCCGTCCAAAATATACGTACTTTTACTGTGTCACTGCTGTTGTCATGGTTTTGACTTTCCTTGTTTCTATTTTTCTTTGCCTTGACGCGGATTTTAGTACTCATACCGATAATTACATATCCTAGGACTTGCTTTGTTTAAGGACAGTTGAAGTAGACTATCACTATTATCTGTTCTCTAAGCCGGGATACGAAAATACCCACCTAAATGTCTTTCTGCTTGGTTTAAGCTACCTACTTGGGCTTTAAAGTCACCTGCTACGCGTAGTATGTCTGAGCGTTTAGCTTTATGAAGAAGGTCAGAGAGCTTTCTGTAAAACTCATCTTTCACTTCATCCGGGCTGCAGTCAGTGGGAGCGTAGGCGAAGACGGCGAAAAGGTAACCACGTGTGTCCCTATCCTCCCGAGTTCTTACGGAGACATTTAGCCGAACAACACATAGGCGACTGTTTACGGGGATCCATTTTAATAGTGCGTGTTGTGCCCTCGTACTTGCTATGCCTACACCCGCCAGTCCAAGAGAACTATCCATCGGGTCGCCAGATATACAGAGGG